ATGAAGGATTAGTGTAGATCTAGGATCTCTGATATGTGCCATCTTACAAACCATCTGAAGCAAATGGAAAGAAAGAGCACAAGCAGAAGGAAAAGATACTCCATCCGTTGAAAGCTGGGAGGGATGCATTGCCAAAATGGTGAAAAGGAAAATCTTTGGAAGCTATCTATACGTGAGTTTGTTGTCGTCGTTGTGGCCGTGGTCAGAAAACCTAAGCTCAAACTTCAAAGGCGGAGGGTAGAGACTTCATTTCAGGCAAACCAATTTCCTCCCACAAAGAACGTTCCTGCATAAGCAAAAGGTCCAATAGTCGATAAACGGACTTTAACAGTACTTCGAGAACCTTTCTGAGTAAAGTAGAGAGAAACAATTTACTCACAAGAGGCATCCACGACGCTGCTTCTTCTTCTTCTTTGCATCTTTCAGTTTTGTTGCTGGCTTGATCACTACTTTGATGGCAGCATCGAACACCGCCTTAACGTTCTGGCACCAAAATTAGAATGAGGAATTAGGTACCCCAATACCTAGTGTTAAGAAGATGTGGCTATAATTCCTGCTAAGATGAATGAAATTATTACCTGCTGAGTTTTGGAGCTGCACTCGATGTAGTATGCCGCACCCACCAGCTTCCGGAGTTCCTCTCCCTGGTTATGGATGGGAAATGAAGAGAGTGTTATTGGCTAAGAACAACGTTGGTCAACCAATGACAAAGAGAGTCAATCAGTCAATAGCTTGTGTAAAGATGCTGCACACCTGTTCAGTGGTAACAGGAACCAGACCAGGGTGATCAGCCATATAGTGCTTATCGTTGCGAAGATCTACACATCAACAACTAATCAGACATCACTAGTATTACTAGGACAAGGGTTGCAATTTGTTCCATCTCAGTTTCCTTGTATGATTGAAGTACTTCTCGCAGCAATACCGCTTTCATGCATAGATAGTGAGATAAATGACTCTCTAAAAGGTCAAACGATTAACAATACTTCGTCATCATTTATGAACTTCAGACTTGGCCAGACTCTTAAAAGGGAATTCGTCTTAAGATACTTGAGAATGCATCATCTAGGAGATGGAGCACCTCAAATAGCCCTAAGCAATCTATCTGTATCCAGTCCCATTTCTCAAGCATAAATGCATAACATGCTACACTGTACAGCAGTCTGAAAATGAATCCACTTCATTTGAGCCGGAGCTCAAGAGCAGCCAATATCAGGCAACAATGAAACCTAGGGGGGTAATAAGAGCCACTCTTAATCTGCAAACAACCAGCCTGCATAACCAGCCAGCCAGTACCACACACATTCACCTTGGCTATCAACATTAAGCGTTTCCTAACTCAATGTCTAGTGGACTTAAGTTGTTCAACTTTCCATTCTACGAGACTGGATTGGGAGGTTAGAGCCAACAAAACCAAAGATTCAGAATTTTAGCTATCACTATGCCAATCTCAAGGTCAAGCCAATGAAGTTCAGGGTCCAGGGATTCGGTAAATGCACCAAAAGATAATGCAGACTGTCTCGGAAATCAATTGCAGCCATAAAGTCTAGAACTAATCTACCAACCCTTCTGCTAAATTTGGGGAACATAAAACTCTGTATGTCTTAATGGCAGCAATCACAACATCTTACTCGAAGGGACTCTAACAGGAAGGATTGAATTTGCAGTAGATGGATGAAAATGGACTCACCTAATTTGGTACCAACCAGCACTAGTGGGATCCCAGGGGCATAATGCTGGAGCTCAGGAATCCACTAGAAAACACAACCACCACATTAATCAGCAGGTTGTTAAGCAACAACAAGGCCATAGATCCATGATGAAAACTATCAAAGATCACACCTTCTTAAGTACATTCTCGTAACTGGCTCGGCTAACCAGCGAGAAAGCTAGGACAAAGACATCTGCACCTCTATAGCTCAATGGCCTTAGCCTGTTGTAATCTTCCTGACCTGTTGTTGGAGGGAATTCAAGAAAAAGGTTAACTAAGAAGGAATCTTAAGAAGGGTTTTCGTAATCTGAGAAAGAACACAGTATGTAATGGAGGACAAGAACAAAATCAAACACTACCAGCTGTATCCCAGAGGCCCAGGTTGACAGTGGTTCCTTCTACTACAACATTAGCGCTGAAATTGTCGAACACTGTGGGTATGTAATCCTGCCCAACAAGTAAAGCAAAAAACGTAAGCTTTTTAGCTGGAAATCTCATTTGGGAAGCAAGAAAGACGGCAAATTTGTCAGCAGGGAAAACGGGAAAGAGAAAGAACACCAATAACAAGATAAAAAAAGGGCCAAAAGGGTAAAAAAGATTCAACAGTTTAAGACTCGAGGAAACCAAGTGAAGATCAAGTCCAAAGCCATAGGAATCAGCGTTTGTGGAGAAATCATACGGTAGGGAACTTGTTGCTGGTGTAGCAGATGAGCATACAGGTCTTGCCCACAGCTCCATCTCCAACTGTCACGCATTTGATGAACCTCGAAGCACTCGCCGCCATTTGTGATGATACCCACAGAAGAAGAAAAGGGAAGAACAACAATCTGAAATTGCAGCAAAAAGGGAAAGCCTCACTCTCTTTTGCAGAGAGGAAGAACAATTAGAAAGTGGCTGTTTTGTGTTGCTGGGCAACGAATTTACTACAACCAACCAACCAACCAGTTAGCTCTCTCTCTCTCTCTCTCTCTCTCTCTCTCTCTCTCTCGCTTCCTCCTTTGGTCTTCAACTCACATGATTCTCACTCATACACTAATCACTGATCAGTAGGTAAGAGCCACTATTGCAGCCTGCTGCTGCTTTTGGGGGTTTGCAGGCTTTTCCTGAACCCAGATTGAGAGAAATTTCCCAGAAAGGATTTTCCTTTCCTTGTGGGTTTGGGATTTTCGAGGAAAATATGGAGTAATGAATTAGACAGGCTTTTTGGACTGCAGTGGAGAGGAGGTTTTAGCTTTAGGAGCAGCAAGCAGGCAGCCACAGCAAAAGCCAGCACAGCAACTGCAAGCAAAGCTTTTCCCACAAGAACGCCAACAAGGCTTTTTTTTCATGTAAAAAAAAAAGGCTTTTTTTTCTCTGCTCTCCCTAATCCCAAATTAAATCTTTTTGTTTTTGTCGATGAGGGAGCCTTACAACTTGGGCTGATTATATTATTTAATGAAAACTAATTATAATATATTTTAACAAAGACATGATGATATATGTTATGTATCACACTCTACAATTAATTAGGGTTGCTGTCTCAATTAAACTTATACTAAATGTTGAATAATATTTTTTTTCCTTCTTCATTATATTGCTTTGGTGAGACTGAGATTATATAGAAACCCTTAGAAACAATGTAACCAACTAACTAATCATTCTTGTTTTAGGGAATGAGAGGACAATGATCACCTTAATATAGATTAGATGCTATAACTTAGTTGATAAGTCACTTCATGATTTATTGCAAGTCTCATTAAAGATCAAGCGTATAAGCATAAGCAAACTCGAATTAGGAAGCAATAAGAAACAACAAAAGGAAAGTCTAATTATTGTTAATTAAAGCATCCTCTTTTTGAGTAATTTTACAATGCTATATATCATTGGTACTATAGGTTTTTGTCTTTATGGCACAACTTGAAATTGTATTTTTAACGTTATGGTACAACTTCAAATTGCACTTATACTTTTTGTGCAAATTCTTTTATGGTACAACTTGAACTTGTACCTTTATGTGATGGTACAACTTCAAGTTGTAAAGTTGTACCATAACATAATGGTACAAATTCCTTCATGGTACAACCTAAACTTATACATTTATTGTTATGGTACAACCTAAAGTGTTATATTAAAACACCAATACTATATAGCATAGTAGAAATGCTTCATCTTTTTATATTTTCCGGACTCACCAATCTTGACTAGAAAATCCCGTGACAAGCGTATAATGTAACACATTAAACAAATTCCACATTGATAAAGCACGGAAGAGATCCATGGTTTATAAGTAAGAAACCAATCTTAACTGATAAGACGCGTTTTAGGGTGAAATGAATGAGTTCTCGTGAGAACTCCAAAATTAAACATTCCCAAAATTAAACATTCTCAGCGTGAAGCACTGCAAGAATGAGTGATCTTATGAAAAGTCACATTGAATTGCACCACAAGTCAAATATCGTGAGGATCGAGACACAAAACATATAATATCTTCGTCAAGAAAATGTTCCATATTACATACAATCTCATGTGAATTGTTAAGGCATTTTTTTTAATGTTTTGATTTATTGCTCTTGTTGTGTGAATGGCAAGCTGCCAATTGGGCAAACAGTATGCATTGCCTTCTGCTTAAATTCGTTGCTGTATGTAATTGCCAAGGGGGCATCAACATCGGAGTCCATAATATTGAATGTTTACATAAAAAAAAATGTTGACACCTTGGAAAGAAATTGAAAAAGAAATGTGAAGAGGCAAAGTTAATTTCAAAGCAAGAAAAAAGGATATGGTGAGTAATAGAGGGGATGTAATAATTGAAGAAAAAAATCCAAAAAGGGGTTACGGTTGGTTGAAGAGCATAAGTAAAGATGAAGCAAGATAAGCTAAATTATACGTTTGGTCACTCAGATTATATAAATCTTTCACGTTTATCATTCAAAATTTTTCTTCTTCTTATTCATTGCTAACTTTACGAATCATTTCACCGTTAGTCACCCTTTCACGTTTACCATTCAAATTAATTTTCTTTTTTATTCATTACTAATCACCAATCGTCAAACTCTATTAGATTTATGATGACATGACAAACGAAACTGCACCGTTAGGTTTCAGATTCTACAAATGGATACTCTGGTCTCCAAAACCCACTTCTCCAAATCCCAATTCTGGGCTTGAAGAATGGACCTATAATGGAAAATTACAGAATGTAGTGGCCTAGTGGGCCTGACCCACTTCTCAAATTAATAAATCATTCTGGGCTTAAAGAATGACACAGGCCCGCTGCGAAGCGCGGCTCCAGGTCAAAATATAGCTTCATTTACAGGTCCTTGACCAGGTCAAAAAATACAAGAGTCATTGACTTTTCCAAAGAATAACAAAAGGAAGAAACCAGATAGAGAGAATATGAATGAATGGAGGAAAGCCAAAAGAAAAACAAAACAGAAAAAAAAAAAAATCCAAAGTCAAAGGACGGTGCCTTCGTAAACGGTGGCCAATCGGAGCCGGAAAGAACGGACGGCCAGCTTCGCCCGCCGGGAAGCATACCTCTGGAGCTTCCTAATAGATCCAGACCTCGGAAGCGGCTTGGCCCGCGACGACGAATTGTTATCACCAACCGTAAGGTTACTACTGCCGGCGCCGGCGAATTCATCATCGTGGCCGTCGAGGAGGAAGAACAGAGGAGCGATGCTGGACTTCTTCCGGCCGCCGGCCGCGGATCGGAGGAGGGCCTGGCTAGCCGTGACGGCCAAAGCGGCCATATCCGCAGCGGTGAGCCTGGAGCCGAGCTTCGAAGCCGGGAGCAGGAAGTAGAGCTGATTGGGGAGCAACAGCGCGTCGGAGCGCAAGGCCGGGATGGGTTCGTCGTAGGACAGGAAATCGGAGTTGCAGACGAAGGAATCGGACTCCACAACTTGGGAGACGGAGACCGGAGTCGGGTACTCGCGGAGATCCCCTTTGAGGGAGACGACTTTGGCCGTCGGCGGGGGAGAGGCAGAGGAGGATGAGAAACACGCTCCCATTTGACAGCGCGCGGCCGGATTCGATCGATTCGGAAATTGGGTTGAATGAATTTTGGGTAGAATCAATGAACAGATAAGGACAGAGATTTGAGGAGGAGGAGGAGACTGGTGACTTGAGGAGCGGGCAGCGGAATAATCTTGTGCTATAAATAAAACAGAGGAGAGGGTTAGCGGGAAAATTGAGTGGCTGGCGGCGGCGGCTGGTCTTTACCCATTGGTTTCGCGGATGCCTCCCTGATCACATCAAAACCACCTTTGCTACCTCAGCAATGACGTGTGGTTACGCGGATCTTGTAGCCTACAAAGAAAGTGAGCACAATCATATGCTGTTGGCTTGTTGCTAACCAAAGAAAGAAAACACTGTTGAAATGAAATAAATAGCAGCTGCTATGCAATTGCTGTCGTGTTTGTGATGTTCAAGTTGGGCTTCAACTAGAGTTGGGCTGGGCTTCGGTTATTGTGTCATTCGTATGGTTTATTCTTCAAGCTAAGAACACAAGCCACAAACTGCTAATCCTCAATTGCAAGTACAAAGGAAGCTGTGGAAAGCAAGGGTTGGAGAAAGACCATGAAGTTGGAGCTGTTGCTTGCAGCAAAGAATCACACTTGGAAGCTAAAACACCAGTCAAGTGATGGAAATTGGAGGAAAATGGGAGTACAAGAAGAAGCTCATTAAGAAAGTTGTAAGGAGGAGTCTGCTACCCTTGGTCACTCGGCATGCCTGGCCGATGTGTCAATCAGATATCAAGAATGCTTGTTTTGATTTGGGGGGCTAGTGACAAAGGAGACCAGCATGATGCTCGGGATAATACGGAAGAAAATGAGGTGAGAAACCTGAGAAAACCAGTAGAGCTTGCTCAGTACTACCTAGATGGGGCTGACGAGGGTTAGTTTTATGAACATCACTGGCTTCCGTGAGTTTCCTTTGGGCGATTTGCCGATGCTGCAGGTCTTGAGGTACTACTCCAGCTTGGAAGTTTCTTCAGAATATATCAGGTATGGACTATGGAGTCTATGCTGTAGAGGAATACTTGAGAACTAAAGTTAAGACGAGAAAGACCAACATTGAAAAGATATCGAGAGTTTACCGTGTCAGCATTGACCCTCGAAGAGTGTACCTTAGTAGTCCTACCGATACAGAGTTCAAACCCTCAAAGCAGGTTGTGGTTGAGTTTCGTGAACTTGGCAAGGTGATATACCTTATGAGAGCAGAAATACCTCAGGTTAGACAAGGTTTGATTATGGGTCCTAGAAGAAATGTGATTGAGCAAGAAGAGGAGATTGAAGTTGATGGCAACCCTCAAATTTCTGCAGAGGCAGTGGATTTGCAACCGCAAGAGTTGGTGGTTGCAGGGGAGGAAAAAAAGCATGCGAAGAAGGTCTTTGAGTGGCTTCAAGTGATGGATTTGATAAGTATGAGATATTGGGTAAACTTGTGTGCAGATGATCATAGCTTGGTTATCACAAGGCAAGGGGCAGATGTATTACTTGTGACTCTATGTAAGAATGGGTTGATGTTTCTGAACACTAATGTTGTCTTTGAGATGATAGAGTTGGTGAGAGGAAGGTGCATGCATGAAGGAACGTTTCTGGGCTTCCAAGAGAGGCATAAGATATCTGATGGAGATTCCAAGCTATGGAATTTTTTCTGGAAGGAAGACAGAGGTGAAGCATGTTAATGAGATTCCAAGCTATGGAATTTGTTCTAGAAGGAAGACAGAGGTGAAGCATGTTAATGAGATTCAACATGGAGATTCAGGCCCTTCAGCTTTCCAAGTGGAACACAAGTATGAAGCACAATTGAGGAGTGAACTGGAAACCAAGAAAATGAAGGTTGTAACGAAGGATCGAAGTGATGCTTCTAAAAGTAGGAAGAGTTTTACCACTAGGGGAGCAGCTAGTGCATCAAAGTTTTATGTATCATCGCCAAAATCAGGCAATATGAGTTTCCAGTCTGTTTCATCAGATATTTTTGCAGAACATTCTAGTGAGAGCTGGGATGGCAAAGGGACATGCCTCAGTGGTAGTCCAGTGGTGGGAAATAAGATGTCTGGAGTTATACATATCCGGTGTAAAAATGTGGTTGTCAAGCTTCAAAGGAAAGCTGAGTAAGGAGGCAAGAAAATTGTTCATCTCCTAACGGATCTATGGAAGAGGATTGAAGCAGGCTGCATGAGTAATGCTGGAAATAATGTTATGGATTTAAGGCAGAACGAGCAGCGTGTCGATAAGTTCGACTACAATGGAGTTTGGAGCTTGTGTTTGATGTTCAATTCATGAAGTAAGATTGAAGTCTGCTGCTGCAATTTGCTCAAGCTGCTGCTACCACTAAAGTTAGCTGCTGAAGGACTTGAGGAGTTGGGATATAGAACTTGGATTGAAGGATAAACTGAAATGTTAACACGTTTTCAGTTTAGGGGAGGAAATGTTGAAATAAATAGCAGCTGCTATTGCTTGTTGCTGTCGTGTTTGTGGTGTTCAAGTTGGGCTGGGTTTTGGTTATTGTGTCATTCGTATTGTTTATGTTTCTATATAGGTTGTGTCAAGAGAGTTTGCTTAATCAGCTCTGTAGATAGAGGGTTCTGTTACTGGGTTGCTGAGTTTTAGGGACGTGAGGATGAGGGCCGAGATAAGCGAGAGATTGATCAAGAAAGCTGTATATATATTCTGTTTTCCATTCAATAAAGCTTTTGTCAGTTTGCAATTATTTGGTTTCTTCAAAAACTTCATCTCTACTGGTAGTTACTGCACAAACAGTCAATGCACCTTTCTCTGTTAGACGCAGATAATAAATTGGTGGACAAGTTCATTAGGTACAAGTTAATGTTCCCTCCTTCAATATGTCGATCCAAGTGCGAACAAGAAAACAAGAACCACAGGTGATAAAATTTAATATCTGCAAGACATGAGAGGTACATGATCCTATTGTTGTTAGTTAAAGCATTCTCTATACATCCACATAGTTGTCTAGCAGACCTGCACTCACTGAAGAAGATGACTCCCCTGCTGCGAACGACGATGCTACACGATACTCACCTATGTGTTCCCTTGATGGCTTGTCTTCTCCTGATTGTGCCCATATCACCCCGTAGAAACCTGCTACAATCACCATTGCTCCAACAACGCTGCAAAAAGAAAGCCCCCGCCCCGGACAGCAAATTCATGTTAGTATGTTAACCTGGAAGGATGCTGCTGATTGCTTCATTTTCAATGGTAAGTTTAAATTCATAATTCTTGTACCTCCCTACGTGGAGGGTGTCGCCGAGGAAGAGTACCCCCAAGAAGGAGGCAATGGCGATGGATAGGGGCTTGAACATTGCCACAAACACTGGTCCTTTGATCTGGATGCACCATGACATCACAGAATATGAAGCAACATTCCCAAATATAGCCTGCAATGAAGCAAACCAAAACAGAGTTCTTTTCCTTCAATTCAACTCCTGATGTTATTGTATAGAGAAGTCTTCTCGTTTGTATAATTAAAATTTAGCTCACAGAGTAGATAACAGAGAGGAGTTTGATGTCAGCCTGCAGCTTCCAGGCATTCGGGTCCTTCTCGGCGATCAGAGACACAAGTGCAGATTGAATGGTTCCAAAGAGGCAACAGTAGGCCACAATGGTTATATTCGAATCGAACTCCTTCAGTACTGATGCCTGAATAAAGCTTGGAACTTTAGAAGTAATTTAAGTCTATGAATGCATTGCATCGAGCCATCATTGTGTTACACATTGTACCTGGAAGATGTTGAATATTGACATGGAGAGACAAGCCATTGCAATGAAAAGGCCTCCAATGACCCAAGAATCGGCTGTTAAGGTGGGAAGGACTGGGTTTGGGAGTGACTGAACCACATTTGAGGCCCAAATTGGAGGTCCTTTGAAGAAGATGACAATAAGTGCTCCAGAAATGCATACAATTGTGGCCATGATTTTGACTTGGCCCCTTAAGCTTCCCAAATTCAACTTCTCCATCCTAGGAAAAACAATCAAGAGGGAGGATTGCAACAAATTCAATAATTTGAATGCATCTGAAATAGAGATGATGGGAAGGAGAAAGAAAAAACGGAACCTGAAGAGAACAGCGAGTAAGAAAGTGAAAGCTGGGATCAATTGGCTGAGAGCAGAGGCAAGCGTTGGAGAACTGTAGCTAACTCCAGTAAACACACAATTCTGCATCACTGTCATTCTGCGCCCAACCAAAAACCCTCAACACTACTACCACCACCATAATAATCAAAATGAGCGAAAGAGAGTATTCCCCAGTTTCCTTCATGCCTACCCAAAAAGACCCAGAAGGAAGAACTTCCAAATGAGAGGGTAGGTTATGATGGGTGCTACGGTTTTCCTGTGAAGAAAGACGAAATGACCGAATTGACGAATTTCTTCAAGTGAAAACAAGAAAAGAATGGAGGGGAAAGTGAGGTAGCTGAACCTGTTGCAGGCGAGGAAAAAGGAAGAAGGAAACATGATGAGAGTGGCGAGGGCGTTGGAGTAGACCACAAACACGAAATGGCTCATCCCTTTGGACATGGCGGCTTTGCTGAGTGTGGTCATACCCACGTCGAGACATTCCACCGTCACCATGGCTGCAAATGGCAGCAACTCCTCTAAACTTCTCCACTGCATTCCCATTTCACCCTTCTCTCTGTCTCTCGGTTACCTGGACTGCTGGAGGGCGTCGGAGACATATCCGAGGAGTTATTGGCTACTCAGCGTCAATTATTGAGGATGATCTTTGGTGGGTAGTTGGTAATTACCAGCAACAGCAGATTGTGGTGATATTTCGGGATACGGATGTGGGGTTTTGCCGTTTTGCTCACCGTTCATTGTACCCTCTACTTGCTTTGTTTGCCGCCTCCACCGCTACACTTTCAGATGAACACGTTAACAGAAGTTAGATTCTCGTTTCTAAATGATACAATTGTGCTTAGTTGACGATAACGGTGCTTAGTAAAATAAAAAAAAGGGTTTGTATATAAAACTTGGTGGTAGTTGCCGCGCCACGTATCGCTTTTCTTCTACTTCTCTTTTCCTCTTCGTTTTGCTCTGTCTCTCCTTTTGGAACCCAGCGTAAAGGGGGCGAAAATAACATCGAAAGATCGGAACTTGGCTGGAAAAATGGGCGCCGTAGAGCCCAGCTTGGATGAGCTCTTGGAGGAGAGGAAACGCATGAGGAATCCTCTCGTCCCCATTGGTGAGTTCGATCCCTTCCCCTTTCTTCTTTTACATTCCGATTCCGGGTTTGCCCCAAAAATTGTTATACTTCCTTTCAGCTCCAGTTTTTGGGATTGGCTGATTCCTATTTGATGTCGAACATTTGGGATGAGTTAGTTTCTACTCGCCGCCCGCCGGTCATGTTAGGGTTTCTCTCCCGGTGAGCCGTGACCTGGTTTAGGAAACAGAACGGGGAACTCTGGCCGCGATGTTTGGGTTGGACATTAAACCTCACTTGATGCTTTATATCTTTGTTTCTGACTGGGTTGTTGATTCACTAATTCTTCTTTCTTTGTTGGTGAAGTTGGGAAATTGGTGCTTAGGCAATGTGATCTATAAAGTAGGGAGCTTTGTGGTACTTTTCTAGTAGATTGACGAACTGCATTTGGTTAGCATCATCAAGTAGACAACAATATGGAAGATGATTAAGTTGTATGTCTCTGTGTGGATGGGGTTGGTGCAGGAATTTGTTTTTGTTTTTGTTTTTGCTTTGACATTTGCTTTAGGGTGTATCTCTTGATTGTGAACCTAGTGCCTGGATTGATGTTGTACTGATACTAGAGCTTCAGGGTGAGGCTAGGGGTATATATATAAGTTGTATGTGTCTATGTAGTTGGGGTTGGTGCAGGCACTGTGTATTTTTGGAGAGAAGAGTATATCAGTAGTTGAGTCACATTATTCTGATGGAGTATGATAGTTTGGTTTAGGGAATTTCTTCTTGATTACCAGCCTCGTTCCAGGATGATGTTGTACTGATACAAGAGCTTCAGAATGAGGCTAAAGGTATATGCTTGGTATATGAGATTTCGGGGTTTTAGAGTAATGCTTTGATGGATCAAGAAGTTTCAGGCTGAGAGTATGCATACAACTGTAACTTGTTTAGTTTCAAGGTGGTTTGAAATCTGTCTTGCCAACTCTGGGAGTAGATAACAATTGATCGGACAGTTTAGCTAGAGAATCTGCATATTTTCTGCTTTAGCTGCATCATGAGTGTGCTAACTAAACCAGTTGGGGAACCCATACTTTCATTTTAGGAAGTGCAACAATCTTGAGATGTGAGAAATGTCGTTGTCAAGCAGTAGAGTTATAGTGCAGTTCTCCATGGTAATGTTTCAGTTCTTTCATTCCCTTGATCCTTCTAATCCTGGAACTTGGGACCCACTGAGACGACAATTACTGAAGCATGACTTTCCTATCATTTCAACGGTTGGAGCTGCATAAGAACAGAGATAGAAGCTGGTTTATGTTACTCAGAGAGGAGAATGTTGCTACACCAACATTATTTCTCTACTTTTCAGCTTCTATTCTGAATTTGTCAGTGGAGAGGTACTCAAGGGATGTTGGTAGTAACAGGTTCTGGTGGCCTTGCATCCTGCAAACTTCAATTCAGTCGTTTGTATTGGATTTTTCCCAGTTAAGCTATTCTTTATGTTTTTTTATAGATAAGCTGTTCTGTATTATTGCTCGGCCATGGCTGATTATCTGGGCTAACTGGCCTACAAGGTGGCATTCCGCGAAGGGAAATTAGGCTGATAGATGAGACATGTGTACTTCAAATACTTGTCGCTACATTGCAACATTACATCTCGTCATTCGAGAAACTGGATTGCTAGACTTGGTGGGTTTGATTGATGTCCAACTGATGTTTGTGGGAAAACTATATTTGCAGGTGCATTCATGACAGCGGGAGTGCTAACAGCGGGGCTAGTAAGTTTCAGAAGAGGGAATTCACAGCTGGGACAGAAGTTGATGAGAGCTCGCGTGGTTGTTCAAGGAGCAACCGTTGCTCTAATGGTTGGGACTGCCGTATACTATGGACAGCACCCCTGGAACAAGAAGCCTGACTCATCTGTATAGAAGATCATCAACAGAAGTTACACAAGCAGCCTACCGGAAAATAAGACAGAATGAATTACTTGCGCTGCCGCTCCCTTACCAATTTGTAGCTTTCCTATGAATTTCTGGTATCGAATGTTTCCTTAAATGGTTGACAGTTTGGGCAGTTGTAACTAATATGTAGGCTGTAGCTACTGTATTTATTTTCTTTACTTCAGATAACATTTTGCGTCGAGGCTGAAATAAGGGGATTTCAGAAGTTCTTTCTGTGAAAGTAATACTCTTTTTCTTGTTAGTTTCAATTTTTTAAATTGAACAGGGAAAATGTCTCCACAGTCTATCCTAATGCACTTGGCAGCAGATTTAGGTGCTTGGGTTTTTATCTGGTTGTGTGAGGGTGTTTGTAATTCTATTAAAGGCTCCACATTTATATTTGGTTAAGGAGTGTTTTCTCTCCATGTGGAGGGTTCTGTCTCTGGAATCTGGATGCTTCATTCTTTCTGGATCTCGCACTTGGCCACCTGCATTGTTTGAATGACGACTTTCATGCATTTTGAACTTCTTAAGATGGTGGAATGTATGTAATATTGGACTATAAGCCCTCTTCCTTGCAGATTATGGTATTTGAATGCCTGAGTTTGCGGCGGAATTATTTCTTGGTGTTTGAGCAATGCCTTCACTTTTGGCGACCTTGTGTCTTAGACATTGTAGTATTGTACTGGCTGTTGCAGCGCTTGATAAGCTGGCTTCTTAAAGTTGGTTCTGTTATTCGGTCATCTAACTTATCCTGGATATACAACATTGTGTTGTCAGAAGGTCTGTCTCGTAGGGGCCTTGGTCTTGGGTCATCATCCTACCTCAGGAAGTGGGTATTTCTTCCTCTTCTTATGATGCCACACTGTTCTTCTGTCTTTATAGTGATCACCTGATGATTTCTTATGCTTGGGTAGCAGGTTCTGAAATTACGCTTCAATGGTTGGCTAAAATGTCTTCTCCAAGTAAGAGAAGGGAGATGGATGTCATGAAACTGTAAGTTTCCTTCTCTACTCCATGCTCAGCATTCAATCATCCTTTCTTCCAGCAATGTCTCTCTCCGATTCTCGTAGTGTTCAGAGCATTGACAGAGTTTATTGTTGGACAATTTAGTGGTGATGTTGTGGTCCTCTAGGCGGTTTGATTTAATGCTTTCTTAGCTAATGTGTATATTAACCCTGTGTGATGTGCTTTGGCTTTTGAGATGGTAAATCAACAAGTGTAGAAGCTAGCAGGAGTGAGAACTCTAGTTATTAGTGAAACAATATGATACTTGTCTGATTACCTCAGTGATTTTATGTTGGCTATGCTAAGCTAATCACTGCAGAATTGAGAGTGGATGTCCCTAAGCTAATCAACTTGCTCAGTGTATTGTTGGGATCCATTCTCAAAGTCGAGTTTTTTTTATAGAATTCGATACTAAAATGCTGGATTTTGTTAACCATCTCGTTTTCCCCGTCTTACATCTTCCATTATAATGAGTGATTAGATGCGGAGGAAATAACTAAAGAGTGATCCAAACTTCCATACAATACGAAGTTAGGATGCTGCAGAAGTGAACTTGTATAATGATGTTATCTCTCCAGTTTTGCTCTCCAATGGGGATTGTAAATAATGAGTGCTTCTCTTTTCCATTATGGATGCTGAAATAAGTGACATTCAAAAATGAATTTTGTTTTTCAAAGCTTTTGTTCTCAGGATGACGAGTGATTACAACGCGGAGGACGATAAATGATGGGCTCAACGAATATAATGTCGAGTTTCATGATCCTAAAGAAAGTAACGTTCTTTTTGCCTCTTTGTGCCATATCTTCACACCATTTTTAACATGTCTGTATTCAGTTGAACTCTTAGTTACATGTTGTTTATTTACTGTTCTATTAGGCTTGTTTCACATGTCCCTCTTTCTCTCCCCCCGTGTTACTCAGCTTTATCGTTGGGATCCATTCTCAGACGTAACTTCGGAATCGATATTGATGCAACACAGAAGCAATCTCAGTTCATTGTTGGGATCCATTCTCAATGTGAACCAACGTAATTTTCATTACTCTGCTTTGCTTATAAAATTCTGAAAGTAGTCAACGAGCGAGGAACCATCTTGAGTAGGGTTAGTTCTTATAGTATAATCACTCTGTTTTGCTTATAAAACTCTTAGGGTAAAAAATGAAGAAGTCCGCGGAGGAAGGACTGTTACGAAACAAGGCGTCTAATTAACTGACATACAGTAAGACATAAGGGTTTGTTTTCATTAGAACATCGTTTTCATCATTCTTTTTTACCTCTTCCTCTGTTTCTTTCCAAGACTGCATATCTGATCCATATTATATCCATGGGGTTTAACTGTTCAAGTTGGCAGGTTGTGCATGCATGGTTCCTATTTGGCGTTTTACATCCTGTCTTGTTTGGCACCAGGGATGTTGCTGTAATCAATTCTGCATTTCGCCATTGTTAACGAACTTCCTTTGGCTGTGTGCTTGGGATCCGAAAACGGCTGAAATGTTTTGAAGGAGTTAGTCGGAGTTAAGGGCATCTTTCTTTTGGATTTTTGTACAGTACTATTCATCTGTCGAGAAAGCGACTCGATTTCTGGTAGCAATCAACGAAAGACGGCCGGGGTGGGAAATGGGATTTAATGAAGTGGATTTTAGTAAACAAATTGTAAAGTGTACTTCAGTTAAGACAGTTGTTGTTACAAGAGAAAGAGAATTGAAAATTGCAGTCGTCGATGCATATGTCATTGAAGGAGCTCTGTTTCTTTACGATGTTCAACTTAATTAATCTCTGGGTCAGATGCATTGTGCAATAATACGGTCAATATGCAAAATGAAGATGGTGACATTCTCTAATTTATTTACTGGTAGGAAGGGGGGAAGTAATGTATTTTAGCTAGGGTTCTTACTAAATCGGCATCAGCTTTTTTGGGTGAGTAGTAAACCGAATCGGTTAAAGTATTTTTCTTGATTAATTTTTTTTTGGATAAGTGTGATATATGTTTTTTTTTTTTTGTTATTAGGTACTACTGAAGGGATTCGAACTTGAGACCTCCAGGTTCATGGCTAGTGGTATTACCACTAGACTAATTCCTTGTTCGTCTTGACTATTTTTATATATTCGTAGAAGGGATCGAGTAGGTGGTTAAACCATGGTTTGAGGTCCGTTCGCTTAGAAAAAATTGAGTCTTTGACTCTTTGTAGACGGGCGAGTGATGAGGGTGTGTTATAGTTTTGTAAATCTCTAATTCGTAGTATGTGATGGATAGGCATTTCTAACATTCATTAGATAAGGAGAGACAAATTACACACAAATTAGTTGTTCAAGCAATAAATTTACCTATGGCCTAAAGACTAATTGGTGAAATGTGTTTGTGCAACCCAACCACATCCATCCGTGACCCGTCTGACCCAACCCGAAAAAGAATGTGGACAAGTAATGAGTCATATTTATGTGAACATGTTTGTATGCAGATGAGTTAATTTTGAGATCGAAACTCGACCAACAACCACCTCCTACTTATTTCGTCACATAAATCGATTTGCAACAAAAGGTTCAAGATTTTTTTGGTGAAAACGGTTGGTTACAACAGTCACACACAAATAAGCGAATCGGTTTGGTTTCAGTTAATAACCGAATTGTGTTTTGTAATTACCTTTTTGTTTTGTTTAACCCCTTAACAGTAACGGTTCAGTTGCATGTGAATGTGATTCATGATTATCATCTTTAACATTTCTTAACCACAGACCAAACCGGTTCACTCGGCCCTAATTTTAGCGCCAAATTCCCAACTACCCAACAAGAGAAACGTCTGAAGAGGTCGTTAGACGTGATCCCCAATACTCCCGACTCATTCAAATCCTCTGCCACGGCAAAACAGAGAAGTCCACTTGTCCGGCCGGCCGGGCCTTCCCCTGTTCTTCCCATTTGGAAAATGATTTCGCCATTACAGACTAGCTCAAGCTAGCAAGCAAACAAACAATCTCCCCCCTTTTTGGCGGCTATCCAATTGTTCCGATTCCAATCGGCTCATCCACTTGGCGCTTAACAGTACTCCCACCAGTGACAATCACCCTTCCAGCTATTTCTCTCTTCCGCCATTTCATACCCCTTCCTTTCGGTAATATTAACCCTGAGGAAAACAAAAACAGAGCAACCCACCAGAATTTCTCCAGGGGAAGAAGAAGAAGATTAGAATGGATGGAATCTCCATCTGGGTACTCCTAATTTCAACTTCCTTCTTCATCCCAAGCTCAATTTCCGAATCGGAAGACGTCAGGACCTCTCTGATTCAGTTCATCACCAACCTCTCCAACGGCACTTTCCCGCCGAGCCCGAGCTCCGGCTGGAACTCAACTTCCGACCCTTGCACAGCCAATTGGACAGGGGTGGAATGCGACAAGCCGAATTCCCAAGTCAAGAAAATCATCCTCGATGGGTTTAATCTCACCGGAAATTTCGACTCTGCCTCACTCTGTTCCGCCCCTGCTCTAGCTGTCCTCAGCTTGAACGGAAACCTCATCGCCGGTTCTCTCCCGGACCAAATTGGAGACTGCCGGCGGCTCACTCATCTCTACCTCAACGGGAACCGGTTCTCCGGTCCGGTGCCTTCGACCGTCTCCAGGCTCAACAATCTGAAGAGGTTTGAGATTTCGAACAATGGCTTCTCCGGTCAGCTCCCTGACCTCACAAGGGTTTCGGGATTGATCGCTTTCGTCGCCGACGGGAATCAATTCACCGGCGGGATACCTTTGGGGTTCGATTTCACCAACCTGGAGAGATTCAATGTCTCTAACAACATCCTCAGCGGTCCAATTCCTGACGTGGATGGGAAATTCGGAATCACCAGCTTCTCAGGAAATGCGGATCTCTGCGGGCCTCCGCTTCCAAACTCGTGCCCTGAATCTGAATCCCCGCCGCCGTCTCCGTCGGCGCCACCGTCCTCATCAAAACGTGATAAAAACAGGACCCGCGATCAGATCCTGATATTCTCCGGCTACATTCTGCTGGGGCTGGTTGTGGTCTCCTTCATCGTTGCCAAAACAATCCGCAAGAAGAATCAGAAGAACAGAGTGAAGTCCGGCGGCCGTCGCGGCGGCGGGAGAAACAGAGAATCGTCTACTACCCGAGAGACGAGTGGTTCTGCTAGTACTAGTAAGAGCACTTCTAGCGAGGGGAAGTCGAAGGCGACGACGACGGCGGGGAACAGCAGGTCGGAGATGAGATCGGAGTACTCGATCACGTCGGCCGACAGTGGAGCTGCGGCTGCTTCGTTCGAGGTCCTGTCCAACCCTTTGGTAAAAGGGTTGAAGTTTAATGACCTGTTGAAAGCTCCGGCGGAGCTGCTAGGGAAAGGGAAGCACGGCAGTGTGTACAAGGTGGTTTTGGATAACGGGGCGGCGATCGCTGTGAAGAGGACAAAAGATTGGGGGATTTCGTGTGAGGATTTCAGTAGGAGGATTAAGAGGATTGATAAGGTGAAGCACCCCAGAGTTCTGAATCCATTGGCGTTTTACTGCTCGGATCAGGAGAAGCTTCTGGTTTATGAGTATCAGCCCAATGCCAGCCTCTTCATGCTTCTCCATGGTAAGGGATTTTCCAGCTCTCCTTCTATTCTCTTTGGTGGTAATGAACCAAAACACAGGAATCCAAATTCCAATCTATTTTTCAAATCCTCGAGAAGGCGTATTTTCGTGTATGTTTAGGCGTTAGGAGTCGATAAAACGTGTCGTTTAGAGTCTTGGCATACAATTAGGCATTCAAACGCCTAAGTAGATTATTAGGCATTCAAATTCACATGTCTAGATGCCGTCTAGGAGGTGAGGCGTAATTAATCAGAGCTAGGTGGTCTGACGATTAAAGATAAAAAAAATGTAATAAAATGTCCCAAAACAATGTCATCCTTATGTTCGATTAATTCCTTCCAACGACCCGTCCTACACATATCTTCTTCCTCTATTGAAATAAAAATATTAGGTCAACAGTGCTCGCTGAATTGCAACGACATCTTCCAGGCCCTTAAATCCAATGCCTCTCTAACGTCTTCTTGAATATTGATATCAAGTAGTTGACTTGATCACAAAATGAGGTGAAAGATTATGAAAACTTTAAACTCATGAATTCGCTCTCAATTGAGTGATTTGAAGAACATGATTATAAATTGAAACTTCTCCGAACAAGTCGATTTATCGCGAGATGAAGTGGTTCCCTTTGGCTTAATTCCTTCTGAACAACAATGCAGGGGCACATAGTGGGCAAGTGCTGGACTGGGGGAGCAGGCTGGTAATAGCATCCTGTGTAGCAGAGGCACTAGCATTCGTCCACAGGGAGCTTCAGGAAGATGGGATTGCTCATGGAAACCTGAAATCGACCAACATTCTGTTCAACAAGGAGTTGGAGCCCTGCATCAGCGAGTATGGCTTGATGGTTGCAGAGGATCCTGATCAAGGGACGACGAAGAGTGGCAGCCAGCAGAAACCATATAGCAGCTTCAAGGTGGATGTTTACTGGTTCGGAGTGCTGCTGCTGGAGATGCTGACAGGAAAACTTGTGCAGAACAATGGCCACGATCTGGCGAAATGGGTTCACTCTGTGGTCAGGGAGGAATGGACCGTGGAGGTTTTCGACCGAGCTCTGACCTCGGAAGGCGCGAACGAAGAGAGGATGGTGAACTTGTTGCAGGTGGCGCTGAAGTGCATTACCCCTGCTGCAAATGAGAGGCCAAACATGGGGCAGATTGCAGGGCTGGTGCATGCTATTAGGGAGGAAGAAGACAGGTCCATTATTGTCTCGGAGGGTTAAATTGCTTGGAAGAATTCTTTTGTTCAAAACATTTTCTGACATGTTTTACCATATACATTACTATCATTATTATAGAGGTTCTTTTGTTTTTTTTCTCAAACCTGTACCAAAGCTTCATGAGGAATAATGAGATTTCAGAAGATCTTGGCAATGTGATGGTGTTAAGATCCAGTGGAATGAAAACTTGCAGTGACAAACAAAGACTATATATATATATGGTGCAATTTTATTGAATTTCACCAATTGTCTCATGGGGAAGCTTATTATGAATAATGACTCCATCTTACAATATCACAAAGACAGAGATTATGAAACTACAGCTCTTTTGGTTGAGCTGTGGAAGAAGGAGGCGGTGCTTCGAGACGAATGTAATCGTACATCACCCCAGCAAACATGTAAGTTTGGGATCTGGCTTGTTTAAGGTAAATCGTGTTCTTTCCCTTCACAAATAAGTTCGACGGGAGAGATCCGCTGAAAAACCTATAAAATCCGTGATCTCCGTGTCTTGCAATTGCATTGTCGTCTCCCCAAGTCCCTGTATCATAATGTTCCCTCCTCGCATTTACATTGTTTACATAAACCTGCAGAAAAAAAAAAAGAAAAAAAAAAAGTATAAATGGCATGACTATAATATCATATATGGGAAGATGGGAAATAAGGCGTACAAGTGTATTCGTCAATTCTGCGGCTGCCAATGCTATGTGGATAGTGTAACTTCCAGTCGTGCATACTTCTGGAAGGTCAAAAATAATCTGCCAAGTTGTGGGATTCCAAACCTTTCCATCCGACCTAAGATTTTAAGCAATGAATGAGAGACCCAAACATATAATAAAATGAGATCCTTGGTAGAGATAATGTCAAGAAGAATGATTTGAAACCTATAAAAGTGAGCAAAACACCAATCCTTGCTATAGTTGCTACGGCCGACTTCAAAAACAACATCCTCTTTAGGCCAATACACAGGATATCGATCCCACAATCCCCATTGCCTAAACCTGTCATATAATCATTTTCAAATGAGAAAAATGTGTGAGAGATATAAAGCATATGATTGTATGTCATTAGATGCTACTTACTTCTGATCTGGTTTATCTAGCCAGAACTTGTTGAGAGCCTTTGGATCTGGATCTGGGATAAAGAATTCTTTAGCCGACCGATTTGGAATGCCAAGTTCCCATACCGTAGGACCATTTCTTGGAGGCTTAAACATAACTTGGCCAAGGTTGATCTCATTCCCTACAAGTTTGATTCATCTTTGAATTGTTTAGTGGCTAATACTAATACGTTATATTCTTAATCACACGAAGAAGTCGATTAGTAGGTGAGAACAAATGGCTAAAGACTTTCTATGTATTTGTACACACCTGGTTTAACAGTGATGAGCTGAGGATGTCTTAGACTGCCTACAATACCCGGAACAAAACCGTATAAATTGTAGTCTCCGGGCCTCACATTCTTAATACAAAAGTTTCCCTTCTCATCTGCTTCCGTCCAGAAGTTATAACCCTGCGTTTTTTGTTTTTCCAAAATAATGTTACAACATAAGAATGATGTAAAAGGATTGTGACATGTCAATCGAATTTTTGTTATAGAAACCAAATTTTATTGGTTAGAATAATTTGGATTCTATTATTTTGATTTAGTGTGTATCCCATAATTTGGATTCGAACCTTTGCTTCACTTTGCCATGCTTCATTAGTTGTACCAGGCGCTGCCAAACCCACCATTGCTTTGCATGCCTCCTTTGGAGTCGGACTTAAGTATCTAAAATGTTAATGCAAATTATTACATTTTATTTAATATAATTATTACTTGAAAAGAAAAAAAATAAGTGATAAGAAATTAAAATTTGATAAGAAATATATATAAAAAAGACAACAATAAGATTTTGGATATTCATACTTGTCGTCGACGAGTAATTGGCCAACAACACTTCCACGCTGGGCAGCTGGAGTATAGTCTTTATGTTGAATAAAACAATATGGCCAAAGTTGTGTTTCTTTCTCCAACTACGTCAACACCATAAACATACATAAATTACACACATGCATACACATATGTTAAATAAATCATTAAACTTTACTAGTGAACAACAAATTACCTGCGATTTGGCATCTTTCCAGAGACCTGCACGATCTTGTTCAGAGTTTACATAAGTGAAAAATGGTCCAAATACTTTATTCCACCCTTCTCCTTTTTTAAACACCATGTCAACATCATCTCCGTAAACATGTTCGCCCGTGAAAACCTATGCGTAAAATGACCAGCCATGTGGAATAATAGAGGAACATATATCATCATATTGAAATACGAATATTCGTTGGAGAATCCTCGATAAAATCTTATGGGTTCTTACCATAACACAAGTTGGCCCGTTATGACAAGAAAGATCATATTTGAGGGGCCCACCGTTCATGTATTCGGTGCTAGGTTGAATCAACCAAAATCCTATTTTGGATGTATCGGAGATCCAACCTTTGAGTTTTGAATCCTTCTGTTCTTGGATATATTCGTACTTGTCATCCACCTGGCCTTTAAAAGCTGGATCAACGGGATTGGTCATGAGCACAGCTTCTCGAGGAGCTAGCGTCACACCATTTGCTCGATCCGCTTCTGTCGGCATGACCAATTGGATTTCGTCGGACACTGCCATATAGTTGAATCTAAACAAAAAGGTAAAAATATTTTTGTTAAGCGGTAAGTTTAAGTTTTGCATTATGAAACCATCACTCCAACTCTTCAATATATACATTTATGAGTCAAAACTACGCCTGAAGCTATTTATTTATTAGTGATTGTCTCAAATATATCAAATTAAAAATGAATTACTGTATTTTAGTTACTCATACTCATTTAGTCCATGGATTGGAATTTACATAGTAAACTATAACTCACCGAGAGCTTAAAATATGTAGGGTTGGGAAATGAAAAGGACTTACAACTGTTTATTAGGCCTGAAAACGAATACATGTAGACTCATGTCCATGTCAGGCCAATCTTTCAGTCTCTCCACAGCGACGTAAGTATAAAATCCTGAATCTCCCTTTCGGACTATATATCTGAGATTTTTAATAACATGAATACGAGTATCCACAATGAGAAATATGTCATCCCTTATTATTTTACCTATCCTATACTCAACAAAACTAATCATTTTCAACAAGTAACATTTACCTTATGTCAAAATTGAGCGGAACGACAGAATCTGTTAGCGATGGGTTCCATTCTGCACTGAAAGATACTTCCACTATATCTGGTTTCTCCGTGATGACAGTATACTTCGTTGCCTCCACTCTGTCATATATACAAATCATTAGAGATTAAGTTTTGTATCGACTTCAAAATAAAACATTCAAAATGTGCCCAATGTTGGTTATCCCAACTAGCAACCTATATTATTGATTAATAAGCACATTTTTTGTTGATATTTTTTTAGCTGAAATTTCTGACAATGAAGTATCATAGTATAGTACATGATGATTAAGAGATTGTTATGTGATATAATTATTAATTACCTATGTAAACCCCCTGCCCCTGAACGTGGTGGAATCACATTATAGGACACATCAAAGTACCTGAATCACATTATAGGAAACATCAAGTTCGTTTTATCACATCAATTATTACAAATTAGAATATGAGGGGGAAAAAAACTTTCACGTACGCTCCCCAAAGTTTAGGTTCATGGGAGTCCAGTAAGTTATCAGCTCCATGATATTTTAGCCCAACGATTCGTCCAATTGGACTTGCCAATGTCAACTGTATAATTCCATTGTCGATCGTGACCTATATAATATAACAAGATGAATGAAGATAAAGTTAATATATATTTCAAATCTTTATTATGTTAAATAGAAGACCATGCACATAACCAAAAAAGACGTTCGTGCTTCATTACATACATGTTTTGGATCACACGTAAGTTTCACCCCTCCAGAAGCATCAACACCTCCCCCTGGAGCAGGCCTATATTGAAACACGACATTATGGTGTAAGTGAGACAATATTATGATAGAAAGGGCATACATGGACATGATCGCACAAACTATAGATTTCTAACCCATCTGAGTGACCAAAAACTCCAGCAAGTTGTAACCCGATATTCAAGAGACATAATACCACATAAAATGTGCAAAATGATTCACTGATTTTCATGTTCGAGTAGAAAAAGTGTTTAGGAGAGTATTGAGTATAGATGATTATGCATGTATATATATATATAGAACAATGAACATGCGAAAATAGAGCAACAAAGATCCGTTTTTCCGGAAAATTATTGACGACTTCCGTTGTATGCTCCCTTCCACTGAAATAATGGTTTTTCACTAGCATAAAATTCTATGTTATACTTAAAATTATATATTTCTTCTTCTCTCCAAAAGAATTCTATAATTATATGCATAGTTATAAAAATGTAGAGTTTAAAATGTAAATGTCTTGTTATAAAAAAAAAAAATGTGTCCTGTTTTGAAAAACCCTTCATCCAGAATTATCCATTTTGTTGGTGTTTGATCGGAGCTTTTTTTTAATAGGAAAAATGCAGAAATAAAAGAAATATTTAGTAACCATTTGTTGGTCTTAGACTAGGTATATGTATGCAATTCACAATTTACACCGATCCTAAATACCCCTTTTTTACATAGATATCCCCAAAGGAAAGACCGAAAGAGCATATACATATTACAATAAACACGATCTTTGCAGGTTAAACCATCAATAAGAAAGGAAAAGACCTTTTCAGGTCTTGATGCCACGAAATGGACAGTTCTATAATTATCTTTACTTAATAAGCATAATCCATAACTTAACTACTACTCTTTGCAGGGAGAAAGTCATGGATCGAGCTCATCGAAACTGAAGCAGAGTAGCGAACCTAAAGAGAAAACGCCATAGTACTGCTTGGGTAACATCGCCAAAGTCACCTGCTAAAATAACAAACAAGGCCTAGCTAGACCATCCAATTTGCATCACGTCCAAAGAGGCCAAACTATCCTGAAACA